AATCAGTCTGCAAGGACATGGTGAAACAAACATCTTTTCTTCAGATAAAGCTAGCACTCTGCAACAAAGTTTGTTAAAATCCCTGCAATGTGCATTGACCACCCAGAATGGTTTGTTTGTTTTGTCTTTTTTCAAAAAAAGTAGTTAGACCTAAAAGCCCAAATAAACCTTTTGTTTAACCACTTTCCCCTGGGGTGGACTTCATATGGCGTCCTCAGATTAAAGTGGTTATACTGGGATGATCCGTGCAGCTGCAGGCATCGTCCCAGCATCAAACTTTTCAGCAGCTGATGCCATTTTATGTAGAAGTGATTCAGGTGACTATACAGCCACTCAATCACTTCTGTAGATAGCCGAAGGGTGTGTCCCCTCCCACTACGGCTGCAGCCTTTCCCATGCTTGACCATCCCATTGGGGAGCCCAGGACTTCTCCAACGTTGTTCATCCCTAGTCACTTCCAGTTTTGGTTATTTGTTTACTGACCAGTGAAGCAGCAGATCAGATCAGTCTGTGTCTGATCTTCTGCAATGATGGCCAGAAGAGAGATCTGGTGTCTAATAGACCCCAGATCTGCCCATAAAGATGATCTGTCATGGCCCATGCTATCATGCTATATTGCTCAACCCTTGTGATAGCAATAAAGTTGATTAAAAAATTAAAGGGACAGTGTAAAATAAGTTTTAAATAAAATAAATATTAAAAAAAATGTAAAGTGCCCCTGTCCCCTACGTGCTAATGTGCAAATGCATACGTAAGTTCCAAAACGCATATGTAAACAGCGATCACACCACACATGTGAGATATCATTGCGAACTTCAGAGTGGAAGAAAAAATTCTAGTACCAGATCTCCTGTGTAACTCTAAACTTGTAACCCGTAAAGGCTTTTAAAGCATCGCCTATAAAGATTTTTAGATAATGTAGTTTGGCTTTGTTCCACGGATGTACAAATTTTTAAAGCGTACCATCTTAGGTTAGGTATATAATATATATATATAATCAGAGCAACATAATCTTTTATATTTTACAAAAAATTAGTAATATATTGTGTTTGTGTACACTAAAATTCATAAAAGCATATTTTTTGCCCAAAAATATTGTGTTTGAAACACCTCTGCGCAAATACCGTGTGACATAAAAAATTGCCCACCATTTTATTCTCTAGGGCAGGGGTGAATTCCTCCCAACACTGCACACAGCTAATCTGTTTCTTTTTCAGACACAGCCTCAATCGGCACAGCATGTAGCTAGCTGTTGCAGTTCTGACCTGTGAAATCCTCAGCCAGCTACAAACTGTGCAAATCCAGGTTGTGTCTGGAAAAGAATCAGATCTCAGCTGTGTGCAGTGTTAGGAGGAGCAGCTCTGCTGAGTGACCTGTCAGCAGTGACATTATCCTCTGCCCTGCTGATGCTCATCCTCTACCCTTCTGATGCCCATCCTCTGCCCTCCTGATGCCCATCCTCTGCCCCACTGAGCCCTGCTGACCCTTGCCCTATCCCATGTAGCTCTGCTGAGTGCCTGTCAGCAGTGACACTATTCTCTGCCCTGCTGACACCCTTCCTCGGCTCTGCTGGTGCCTGTCCTCTGCCTTGTTGATGCCAATCCTCTGCCCTCCTGATTCTCGTCCTCTGCCTTGTTGATGCCCATCCCTTGACCATTCTCTGCCCTCCTGATACCCATCCTCTACCCTGCTGTCTTCTGTCCTCTGGTTTGCTGATGCCTCTCTTCTGCCCTGCTTATGCGCATCTTCTGTCCTGCTGGGCTCTGCCGACCCATGCCCTATGCCATGCAGAGTGCTGTGTTAGCAGTGACACCATGCTCTGCCTTGTTGGCTCCCATCCTCTACCCCGCTGATGCCCATCCTCTGCCCTGCTGATGTGTACTCTGCCCTGATGACCCTAAGCTTCTGCCCTGCAAAGCCCTGCCCTATGCACTGCTGACCCCAGTCCTCTGCCCTGCTGATGTCTATCCTCTGCCTTGCTTACCCTGTCCTCTGCTCTGCTGATGCTCGTCCTATGCCTTTCTGACCCCAGTCCTCTTCCTTGCTGTCCCCAGTCCTCTGCCATGCTGAGCCCTGCCCTGCTGACCTCGTCTTATACGTTGCTGACCTTAGTCCTCTGCCCTGCTGACCCCAGTCCTCTTCCCTGCTGACCCCATCCTATGGCCTGCTCTCCCCATTCTCTGCCCTGCTGACCTCTGTCTTCCACCCTGCTGACCCCTGTACACTGCTCTATGAACTCCTGTCCCCTGCACTGCTGACCCCCAGTTCTCTAGCCCTACTGACCGCTATCTTCTCCTTTGTTGAACCCTGTTCTCTGTCCTGCTGACCCCTGTAAAATGCCCTGCTGACTTCTCATCCTGTGTCCCCCTGCTATTTTTTACTGCACCCCCACATCAGGCAGGCTAGATTCGGTCCTTGGTGTCGGACACTTTAACCTGCCTGCTCTCATTTTGGACTAATAATTAACCAGCTATTAGGAACTACTAATTCAGAGATACAGGAGTCAGACTGATCTGAGCTGTGATGGTGCAGGAATTGTGGTAATCTGCTATGTGTAGGTACAGTAATTGGGGTGATCTCACGTATGATAATGCAGGATTTGGGACTGATAAGAGCTGTAAAGGTGCAGAATTTGGGGCTGCCTGAGGTGAAAAGGTGCAGGATTTGAGGTGATGTGAGGTATGCAGGTGCAGGAATTGGGCTGATGTGAAGTGTGAAGATGCAGGAATTGGAATGTTCTGAGGTCTGAGGGTGAAGGATCTTGGACTGATCTGAGGTAGCAAAGGTGTAGGATTTGGGGTGATCTGAGGTGTGAAAGTGTAGGAATTTGGGCTGATCTGAGGTGTGAAGGTTCAGAAATTGGGGCTGATTTGTAGTGTGATGGTCCAAGAATTATGGCTAGTCTGAGATGCGAAGGTGCAGGGATTGGGGTGATGTGAGGTGTCAATGTTCAGGATTTGGGGTGATCTGAGGTGTGATGGTGCAGGAATTGGGGTGATCTGAGGCATAAAAGTTCAGGAATTGGGGCTGATCTGAGGTGTGAGGGTGCAGGAGTTGGGGTGATGTGAGGTGTGATGGTGCAAGAATTGGGGTAAATTGAATTGTGAAGGTTCAGAAATTGGGGCTGATGTGAGGTGTGATGGTGCAGGATTTGGGATGTTCTGAGATCTATAGCACAGGAACTGAGATGATTTGAGGTGGGAAGGTGCAGGAGTTGAGGCTGATCTAAGGTCTGATGATAAAGGAATTTGGACTGATCTGAGGTGGGAAGGTGCAGGAATTGGGGCTGATATGAAGTGCCATGGTGCAGTAATTGTAGCTGGTCTGAGATGTGAAGGTGCAGGATTTGGGGTGATGTGAGAGGTGAAGGTACAGGAATTGGGGTGATCTGAGGTGTGGAGGTGCAGGAATATGGGTGATCTGAGCCATGATGAGGCAGGAATTGGAGTATATTGAGGTGTGATGGGGCAGGAATTGGGGTGATCAGAGGTATGATGAGGCAGGAATTGGGGTAATTTGAGGTGCAATGGGGCAGGAATTGGGGTGATCTGAAGTCTTTAGTGCAAGAATTGGGCTGATTTGACATGTGAAGGCGCAAAGCTCAATATTAATTTATTACTGTTATTCAAATAATTTACAGCACTTAATTTATAAAAATTCCTTTTCTTGATTGAGTGTGTGAAGTTGGCCTTTGAAAATAGTTTTTGCACACTATGCTCAAAATGTTGCCTAACCCTGCTCTAGGGCCTCTGCTTAAAAAAATATATAATGTATAATGTTTGGAGGTAATTTTTCTAGCAAAATGTATGTGAGAAGTGTCAGAATTGGCCCGGTATAGAAGTAGTTAAATTAGCTAAATATATTCCAGGCACATCAAGACAAAAATTTGCATAATATTACAATGATTGTAAGCAGGGCCCTCTGATTCCTTTGTACTAAATTGTATTGTAACTGTAATGTCTGCCTTCATTTTGTAAAGCGCTGCACAAACTGTTGGCACTATATAAATCCTGTATAATAATAATAATTTACTTTATAAAGCTACCAGAGCCTGAGTGGAAAAGCCTATCCCTCAGTCAATCCAACCTTTTAAGGAACATTTTTTTTGTATGACAGCTATTTCAGTGGAGATTGCAAAAGAGCTAGTAAGGAGCCCAGCATAGCAACAGATGTTGACTCATTAATTCATTTTATGTAACCTATTTGCTGTGGCATAGCTGAATAATATTCAATTGTAGAATTTAAAAAATATTTCATGTAATTTTCACATTTGGAATTTATCCAATATGTAAAGCAGCCACATTTTTCTGTTTCCAACACTCATAATTGCTTGTTAGATGCTTTTTACATTTGCAATAATTCCATTATTTCAACAATTTCACACAGTACCTTTTTGAGAGTAAACTGTGAGTTAGTTCAGCTAAATGCAAAGGGATATTTTTAAGAATACCTTCCAGGAAGAAACTCTGTGATCCTTTATTACTACTTAGCTGAGGTAGAAGGTTGTCTAGCTAATTAAGCTGCCATGGTTGGGGGTAGAGAGATTGGTGTAGAAGGGTGATGGGTTGTTACCTGGGAGGAAGGGCAGCACTATACCCCTTGCACATGTTTGTTGCAGAGGCCAGAGGTTGGGACTTCAAAACTAGACACCAATACCCAGGGCTCTGATTGCACCAAAGCCTGTGAACCTCCCAGAAATGTATATTAGTTGGACTTAACCTACAACTAAGGATCTCTGTGTAAACTACTCAAGTAAGAACAAATAGGATGGTGAGACCACAAATAGGACCATGGGCTGGAGACCTCCATTACTCTATCCTGTAAAGCTACTGTATCTGAGAATCAGAAGGGAAATATGTGTAGAATGGTAGGTAATTCTAAAGTGTAAAGGCATACATACAGTATATTGCCAAACGTATTGGGACATTCCTCCAAATTATTGGATTCAGGTGTTCCAATCCCCTCCATGGCCAGAGGTGTATAAAATCAAGCACTTAGGCATGCAGACTGCTTCTACAAACATTTGTGAAAGAATGAGTCTCTCTCAGGAGCTCAATGGATTCAAACGTGGTACAGTGATAGGTTGCCACCTGTGCAATAAGTCCATCCATGAAATTTCCTTGCCACTAAAAATTCCATGGTCAACTGTTAGTGGTATTTTAACAAAGTGGAAGCAACTGGGAACAACAGCAATTCAGCCGGAAGTGGTAGGCCATATTAATTGACAGAGCTGGGTCAGCGCATTTGCTGTGCGCAGAACTCGCCAACTGTCTGCAGAGTCAATAGCTAAAGACCTCCAAACTTCGCGTGGCCTTCACATTAGCACAACAAAAGTGCATAAAGAGCTCATGGAATGGGGTTCCATTTCCGAGCAGCTGCATCCAAGCCTTACATCACCAAGTGCATTGCAAAGTGTCAGATGCAGTGGTGTAAAGCACACTGCAACTGGACTCTAGAGCAATGGAGATATGATCTCTGGTGTGACGAATCATGCTTCTCTGTCTGGCAATCTGATGGACATTTCTGGGTTTGGCAGTTGCCAAGAGAACGATACTTGCCTGACTGCATTGTGCCAAGTGTAAAGTTTGTTAGAGGGGGATTATGGTGTGGGGTTGCTTTTCCGGGTTTGGGCTTGGCCCCTTAGTTCCAGTGAAGGGAACTCCTTAAGGCTTCAGCATGCCAAGACATTTTAGACAATTTTGTGCTATCAACTTTGCGGGAACAATTTGGGGATGGCTCCTTCCTGTTCCAAAATGACTGAGCACCAGTGCACAAAGCAAGGTCCATAAAGACATGGATGAGCGAGTTTGGGGTGGAGGAACTGGACTGGCCTGCACAGAGTCCTGACCTTAACCCGACAGAACACCTTTGGAATGAATTACAGCAGAGACCAAGCCTTCTCGTTCAATATCAGTGCCTGACCTCACAAATGCGCTTCTGGAAGAATGGTCAAACATTCCCATAGACACACTCCTAAACCTTGTGGACAGACTTCCCAGAAGAGTTGAAGCTGTTATAGCTGCAAAGGATGGGCAACTCAATATTGAACCCTACGGACTAAGACTGGGATGCCATTAAATTTATGTACGTGTAAAGGCAGGCAGCCCAATACTTTTGGCAATATAGTGTATGTAGCACTACCCCCTTAGCGCCACCTAATGATGTAACTAGGAGGGTGTTACACTCACCCCCCCCCCCCCCCCCACTAAAAACAGCCATGTCTTCATTGACTGGGAGGGCAAAAGAACAACGATTCCTGAGCCCAGGAGCAGGGCATCCTATAAGAAAAAATTGGAGGGGAAAAGGGTACAATAACTGGGATGGGGAAATAAATATATACACCAATGAATAAATACTCAGCAGTAAAAAAAAATAAAATGTTCTGCATATGTATATTTTTACATAAATTACATACTGTATTTACATTTCCTGTCTGACCCTAACTTTCTAGCAGCAAGGCAATACATACAGTGCCATGGATTTTTCAAACAACCAGTGTTAACTTAAGGATGAAGCATCTCCCCTAAGAGGAGGCCCTTCATCAGAAATTAGACTCTTTATTCTTCTCATACAGGGAAGACAGCCGTCCTGAGACCTGCAAAACAGTGAAAGAACACACGCAACAAACCAATTGCAAAATATTACAGTCCTATCCCTGACTGTCTAAATAAACAATAAGGCACAATTGGTAAAAAAAAAACAGAACCATATCTGTTTGGGTACTTTTTTTTTTGAGTCCCTGTTTGAGGAGGAGCCCCTCCAAAGCAAGCAAAATTAAATGCCTATAGTCTCTCTGCAAAGAAACAAACCAGACCAGCTTATCTGGAAAAAAAACACAAAGAGTTAGGCAAATCCGTACACAATAGGACAGTCCACTGGACTATAATTTCAATACTACTTCCAAGGACTGGGTTGGCTGACTATGGAGCCGTCGGGTCTCCAGATGGCCACAGAATATTTCTGGCTTGGCCTTCTCTTACAGACACCACCTGATCTTTATGAATGGCCAGGCCCTTGCTCCATTCCCTCTTGATGTCTTTTAAGCGGGCCCAGGCTACATCAAGACAAGGCCCTTCTAGGTGTCTGCAGACATGCATGTGGTCCTAGATCAAGTCCTCATCCCATTGTGTCCGGGACTCTTCAACTAAGTCCATGATGTCCTGGGGGACATGGTGTAGTCCAGACCCCATTCTATGGCCACTCTCTGTTGAATCTCCCTTTGCAATCAGGAGAAACGAGGCAAATTCCTCTTGTCTCCTAATCCAGGCTGCACACAGGACTCCTGCGGGGGATCCTCCTGTTGGGGATTGGCTGAGGTCCTTCAAAGGTGCAGCCAACCACTATTGTATCTGTGTTGTTATTTAGCTCCTGTCTAACCATTAGGGATCTAGCTCAACCTAGTGTAACTAGGAGGGTGTTACACATACAAGGCTATAGAAAATATCTATACCAATAATAGGCCACCCACATTTATTCAAGCTGTTTGTCAAAAGACTGTCTACTGTTAGCTGGCTTAAAGTGCGTGTTGCCTTCCCTGGTACACACTTGTATTATTAATAACCTTTGTCACAGTATATTATTTCTGTTACAACATTTATAGTTTCAGTTATCCTTAACTTACAGGTTGACAGCAGCATGCAATTATGCTGGTTGAAGAAAATCTGCACTTTGTTACATACCTAACCTCTTCTCCTACACTATGACATATGTTACCAAGTAGGAACACCACAGGTAAAGAAAATACTGATTAGTTTGGAAGATGGTTTTACAGTACATTGAATCTGTTAAAAACACAAAAGCAAAAACTTGATTACATTCCTGTAAAGATATCCTCCTTCAAGTGAAGTGATGCCTTTGTTTATTTTTTCTTTCTAATTTGTATATTATTTCTTTCTAATTGTGTATTATTTCTTTCTAATAGGAAAACCAAGCTAGAGGGCTGAATTAAGGATCTCTCAGGAACATTTTTTTTACTTATTTATTTAAAAGTACTTATATAGCACTGTCAATTTGCACAGCACTTTACATATGTAGCTTCAGGCCTGGACTGGCCATAGGGCACACCAGGCATTTGCCTGGTGGGCCAGGGCCGCTAGACTTAAGAAGAGTGGCCTGTTGATGACCGGGCCACACAGTGGGAGGTAAGTGGCGACTTCAGTCTGGACAGGGCTAACACAGACGGTGGCAGCTGCTCACCTCCCACTATGCCTAAAGCAGGGCAGACAGGAAGAGTGGCATAGAGGGCTCCAATGACAAACAGGAAGCGCTGCTGCAGACACACATACACCTCCCCAGCTGTCCACTGCACTCACAGCTACACTGAACTGACAACGGCGGCCTCTCTCCTTCACCAGCCGACACACTGTGACAGCTCTGCAGCAGTGGTGGATTGGGCTGTCTCTTGACTGCTTGAGCTGTCTCTTTGGCTAGTTGAGTTGTATCTTTGCTCGGCAGGATGTCTCTTTGCTGGATGAGTTGTCTCTTTGCTGGACGGTCTGTCACTTTGCTGGACGGTCTGTCACTTTGCTGGACGGTCTGTCACTTTGCTGGATGGGAATGTCTCTTTGCTGGACTGGGAATGTCTCTTTGCTCAGTTGATTCCAGCAAAGAGACATCCCAATCCAGCAAAGAGACATCCCTGTCCAGCAAAGAGAAATCCTGTCACTTTGTGGATTGGGATGTCTCTTTGTTTCATGTGGATGTCTCTTTGCTATATGGGGATGTCTCTTTGCTGGATTGGGCCATCTTTTTGAATATATAGGGGGCATTGTGATTAGATCTCTAGGGGCACTATAATGTAAAGGGGCACTGTGATATAAAGGGCACTGCACTGTAAAGGGGCACTGTAATCAATACAGGGCCCCTTTATAGTGCAGTTCCCTTTATATCACAGTGCCCCTTTATTACAATACAGTGCAGAGGACCAACTCCATGAATATGCTGTCACCAACTGCCCCCGCAAATGCCCTTGCACCCCCCATGGCAAAATTGGCTGCTCAGTCTAAAATGCCCAGACCTATTTTTGTCCCAGTCCGGGCCTGTGTAGCGCTATACCCAAAGGAGCTGCTTGAGTATTTGGGCCCCCTGTTGCTTTGCCTCAATCCCAAGAACAACCTCTACCCCTCTGGCACACCAGGTTAGATGTATCACCACAGACACCAGCACAGATATTAGAATTTTAGGAAAAAAACTTTACTGGAAATATTAAGTCAATAAGGAAACAGATTCTGAACCAACACTGTACTCTCTTGCTATGGAGATCAGTCTCTCTCAAATTTATAACAATACCTATTGAAATAGTAGCACTATTAAACCCTATTTTATAACAATATATATCGAGACACCATGAAATCTTCCGGAGATCTATGATCCCAGGGGTAAGAGGGGGAAGAAGAGACCCTTGTTCAGCCAGCTCTGGGAGTTTCTCCTTTAATTACTTCAAGTCCGGACACTTTCACCCCCTTCCTGTCCAGGCCAATTTTCAGCTTTCAGTGCTATCACACTTTGAATGACAATTGCGCGGTCATGCAACACTGTACCCATATGAATTTTTTTAGCATTTTTTTGAGACAGATAAAACTTTATTTTGGTGTTATTTATTCACCACTGGGATTTTAATTTTTTTTGCTATATAAATGAAAGACTCCAAACATTTTGGAAAAAAAAAAAAGTGTTTTTCTTATAAAATTTGGAAAATAAATAATCTTTCTTCATAAATCTTGGCCAAAAAGTATTCAGCTATCTTTTTAGTAAAAAAAAATAACCCAAATTAGTTTATAACCAAAAATTATAATCTATATACAGTATATAATTATTATATTGGTTTTTGGGGGGGGGGGTTTGCCATACCGTCACCCTAGCAGTACAGTGTCACCATGGTGACACTGTACTAGTGTGGGGTTATGAAGATTTGTTCTTTTTTTACACTGATTGCTTTTACACCCACAAAAGGCTATAAAAGCAATAATTTCTTCTTCTCTCTGGCTGCATTCTTGCAGCCATTGAGACATACTGTGAGAGCTGTGATTGGTCACAGCTGGTCACATGGTACAAGGCTGTTTGTGAATAGCCTTGTACCATGTGACCTCTGTGATCATTCATAGATTTCACTAGTAGTAAGCAATGATGTCAGAAGTGACATCTTGTTTACTGCTATTCATGTAATCACTAATTGGCCAATCAGAGATCACATGAATCGGGACCTCACACAGAGGTCTTGTACAGCGATCGATGTTCCGGACACAGCGGGCACCGGAGCACGTACAGGCAGTGAATGTGGGGGACATTTATAAATGGATACCCGCTTCGGCACTGCTCCCGTCCAGCTATTTATGTACATGGGCCGGACAGGAAGTGGTTAAAT